CAGCCACAGCAGCAGTGCCTCCCCGTGAGCTGAGCTGTGTGGTGCTGCACTGAGCCAGGCCACATTGTTGCATGCTCAGGAGCTGCTGGCTGGTGGAGGGGGGGGGGGAATTGGCCACAGCAGCAGCGCCTCTCCATGAGTGGGACTGCGTGGCACTGCACTGAGCCAGGTCATGTTGGAGCGTGCGCAGGAGCTGCCGGGGGACAGCAAGGGAGCCGGGGAACGAGGCACGTGGCAAAGCAGTGGCAGAGCTGGGCAACGAGAGAAGTGGCGAGGTGACGGCAGAGCCACGCAGTGAGGCCAGAGTGAGAGAGGTCTGTATTGGGGTTTGGGTAGGGTTACCATACGTCCAGTTTTTCCTGGACATGTCCTTGTTTTTACATGTTAAATCACCATCCGGATGGATTTTTTAAAAGGCAAAAAGTGTTCTGGATTTTTTGCCCTGCAAAGGGGATTGGGGAGAGGGCAGCGGCATGTGCCTTCAATGGAATGTTCAGAGCAATGCTCCTGGACCATTCATAGCTGCTCTGCACACGGGCCCCAGCGCCTGGAGGGAAAAGCGTGTGGTTCTGGTGAGACCCAGGGCATAACCCTCCACCACACTAGATTTATGTCCCGAGCTCTGCAGGAGGCAAAGGGTATTGGGTTAGAGCAAGGGAGCTGAGGTTTCCTGACTCTGAGGGAGAGGTGAGGCACTGGGTTAGAGCAGGAGGTTGGGAGGTACCTGGTTGTAGGGGAGGGGAAGGGCATTGGAGCAGGGGGTTGGGGAGTACCTGGCTCTAGGGGAGGGAAAGGGCATTGGGTTGGAGTGGGAGGGCTGGAGAGTGCCTGGCTTTTGAGGAGGGGTGAGTGCATTGGGTTAGAACAGGGAGCTGGGCTTCTGGCTTCTTTCCTTTCCTGTAGGTGGGCAGTGGGTCTGTTGGTTAGATTTGGGGGTTCCAGTCTCTGCTCTGTGAGGACTATGGGAGCTGGAGCTTGGTGGGGCGGGAAGAAGAAAGGAAGGGATTCTGGGAAGCGGGATTCCTGGTTTCTTTTTCTAGCCATGCCACTTTTTCTCTCGGTGCCTTTAACTTCACATTGATTGTACTTATATTTCAGTAAATATTGTATTGGCAGTTGTTTGATTTGTTAAAATTGTGAAGCCAAACCAAAAAAGTAATCAATATAATTGTCTTCTGTTGATATACATTTTAGAAGTTAAATTCCTGGACTGTCATTGCTCATTAAAAGTGCTGTCATATGGGTGGAATCGGGTCAATATTGCATTTTATTAATATCAGCAGAACTGACTTAAACGGGGCCTGCATGTTGTGTAGTCTTGCCTTAATTATTGTATTCATTGTGTGTATTGTATTCATCAGTGTGAAAGAAGCTATTTGCATATTTTTGCATATATATGTAACTTAAGTTGTGGCCCTCGGCATGTTCTGTAAGTATCATCATAGTTCCTGGGGCTTCCAAAGTTGATCTAGATGGTGTTTGATCCTGATGTGAAGACATGGGACTGGACTCAAAGACCCCTCAGGGTGCCTTCCAGTTCTAGTGTTCTATGATTCTATGATTCTTATATGATGGCAGCAAAGAAAACCACAGACACCAAGAATTCATCTGAGAGCTTTAATTGGATTGATTCATGTTGTAAACTGAAATGTTACAGACTAGCCCTTAACATGGGCTCTAATGCAGTGAGGGCCTTATGCACGTACTTAACTTGAAGCATGGAAGTCATCCCATGGGACTGTAGAGGTACGTCCACTCAGCAACATTATTTCAAAATGATGAGTGTTATTTCCCTGGGGCTTCCAGAATCAAGTAGCCCTGCTCTAGCAGTTCTGTACGCTAATGCTGTGATCTTCCCTAAAACTTTACCCTACTTTAGGGTTTGCTTAGTGTAAAGTTTGACTTGGTCTTGGTAATATTGATCATTCTGTTCCCTCTCTGTTTAGGCTAGGATTATTGACAAAGATTTATATGCTGAACCCCAAAGCCATGAGTGTGATTGAGCTGTATGGCATTCTTGACCCTGTCACACGAGATTGGACAGATGGAGTTCTCTCTAATATCTTCAGAGAAATTAATAAACCTACTGACAAGAAAGAGCGAAGGTAACCACCTAAGAATTAGAATTGTTATAGTAACCTTTAGATATTCTGAATTTTGCAAAGTCACTTTATTTTATATTTAATACGTATTAGACTAACAGTCATAAGGAAAAAAGAAGGGAATATATTTTAAGGTTAGGAACTAGCAATATTGTTTTTTCAATCTAATTCAGTAGAGCAGTGTTTCCCAAATGGTGCTCCGCAGAACCCCAGGGTTCCTTGATGTGAAAGTAAGGGTTCCGTGAGAACCTGATCCCTCCCCTTCCCCCAAAGAGACAGAGAGGACCTGGTGCGCAAAGACACTGGCTCCTTCTCTGATTCCCTGCTGGGCTTTCAGCCACCTCCCCTCCCCCGCTGCAGCTCTGCCTTTCCAAAGGGGCCAAGTAGCAGCAGCAGCAGCCGCGGGGTTCACTTCTGCTGATGAGTGCAAGAATCTTTTCCCCTTTCCCCCCACTGCTACTCTGCCTTTCCAAAGGGACCTAGTAGCAGCAGCAGTTGCCGGTCCCCCTTCTGTTAATCAGCACAGGAGTCCTCTTTCCCCCTCCCCCGCTGCCTATGAAAAGGCAGAGCAGCAGCGGGGGAGGGGGAAAGAGGACTCCTGTGCTGATTAACAGAAGTGGGATCAGCAGCTGCTACTGCTACTAGGTCCCTTTGAAAATGCAGAGTGAGGTGCGGGGTGCTGTCAATCAGTGGTGTGATCACAAGATATATAATACTGGAAATCCCTTACTCGTTGTCAGGAAGCGTGGCTCATGTATGTGACTTTAAAAATACAAGTTAATAGTATCTACACATAGGGTTACATTATTCTTGATACCAAAATTTCCCATGGATCATTGGCTTAAAGACGGAACTTTAAAGAAAAAAATGAGTATTTCAAGCACCCATCTTGTTTTTGAAACCAGCAAGGAAGATACCAAGGCCGTTCAAGTTAATTATGAAAAATTACAGCCAAGTAATAAGAAACGCGGGTATTGCGAGGACTATTTGTCATTTGGATTCACAAGCAATGGAAATAAAGGTGCTCCGAGTGCCCAGTGTGTACTCTGCAACAAAATATTATCTAATAGTTGTTTAGTACCTGCTAAATTGCGAAGACATTTTGAAACAAATCATTCAGAATACAAAGATAAAGATATTAGTTTTTTTAAGTGGAAGCTTGAATCTGTTGAAAAAAGTAAACATTTCATGTAAAAAATTAACAAAACAGATAAAGAAAACGCAACAGAGGGGTCTTACAAAGTTAGCTATCGTATATCACTCACCTGCGAAGCACACACAATTGGGGAATCACTCATAAAACCATGTGCAAAAGATATTGTAATGTGTATGTTGGATCAGGAGTCTTGTCAAAAAGTTGAGGCTGTGCCACTATCAAACAATTCTGTCATGCATCGTATTCACGAGCTTGCTGCTGACCTCAAGAAGGAGCTTATTTTTTGTCTGCATTTATGTGATAAATATTCATTACAATTACAAGAGTCCACTAATGTTGCAGGTCTTGCAGTTTTGCTTGTATTTGTCCATTATGATTTTAATAGATCTATTGAAGAAGACTTAATTTTATGTGAATTTTTGCCAACCAATATGACTGGTGAGAATATATTCAATTCTATTGATAACTTAATGAAAACACATGAAATAAGCTGGGAAAAATGTTTTGATGGGTGCAGTGATGGTGCCAAAGCAGTGATAGGAACAGTGGCTGGCGCTGTAACACAAATAAAAAACATAGTACCAAACTGCACCAGCAGTCACTGCATTCTCCACAGACACGCTCTGGTAGTTAAGAATGTTTCTCCGTCTCTTAAAAATGTGTTGGACGAAGCAGTACAGATTATTAATTATATAAAAACTCGACCATTACATTCAAGACTGTTCAAAATTATGTGTGAAGATATGGGTAGTCAGCACACAGTCCTGCTTCTACATACAGAAGTCAGGTGGCTATTGTGAGGCAAAGTGCTGGTTAGATTATTTGAGTTGCATCATGTACTCTTCACATTTTTGCTGGATCACAAATTCCAACTGTCTGATTGTTTAACAAACTTTTTGTGGTTATCGAGAGTTGCATATCTTGCAGACATCTTTACAAAACTAAATGAAGTAAATCTGTTGCTGCAAGGAAAGAACGTAAATATTTTTAATGAGAAAGATAAAATTTTGCCATTGTCATGTAAGCTACAGTTTTGGATATCGTCTGTAGGACAACCTGAATGATTTTCTTGAAGAAAATTAAGGCAAACTTGATGAAGATATTTGCAGTGACATTGCAGATCATCTTCGCAATTTATACACAAACATCATTAAGTATTTTTCAGCCATAAATGACAACCATAACTGATTTCAAAATCCATTAAGTTTAACAGAAAAGCTAGTCGGCTTTTCTATGCAAGATTATGAAAACATAATCAAAATCACTTCAGATGGCCAATTAATAAAACAATTTAAAGGTGTTTCTCTGATTACATTTTGGGGAGACTGCTGTCAAAATCAAGAATATTCATCTTTATCTAGACATGCAATTCATCAGTTGTTACCCTTTGTCAGCACATACTGTGTGAAACTGGGTTTTTGAATTATGCAGCAACAAAAACGAAATATAGAAATTGACTGAATCCTGCACCAGATATGCAAATCTAATTTTCTAGTATTAAACCAAATATAAAAAGAATTTGCCAAGAAAAGAAGAAAAACCACTCTTTGCATTGAAAGTTGCCAATATAAATTCATACTAGTTTTTAAGCTTCATTTTTTGTACACATTTAATGTGATATTTGTTTTTAAAGATGTGCAGTTAAACTGAATGTTGATCTCATGGCCTTATTTAGCATCTGTTTATTACTATCCTTACTTTAATAATGGTGTACTGGAAGCCCGCCTCCCTTGGCTGTAAGGATTCCTCGAAATTCTTCTGAGTTTAAAAGGGTACTGTGATCAAATAAAATTGGGAAACACTGTTAGAGAGACAACAACATCTGGCCTGGCTGAGGCGAGAGAGAGGTACTGGAGCATTTAGTTTGTTAACCAATTACATGAGATTTTATGTGCCTATTTTGTGCACTGTATGTGGTAAAAAGGGAGCAAACGGTATTGCTAAGCTTCTGTATAGACTGAGTGTTCTGGTTGAAAGCATTTGAAAACAGCATCTAATTCCTACCCCTTGGCTGTGTCTAGACTGGCAAGTTTTTCTGCAAAATCAGATATTTTGCGGAAAAACTTGCCAGCTGTCTACACTGGCTGCTTGAATTTCCGGAAAAGCACTGACGATCTCATGTAAGATCATCAGTGATTTTCCGGAAATACTATGCTGCTCCCATTTGGGCAGAAGTCTTTTTCCGAAAGACTTTTGCGCAAAAGGGCCAGTGTAAACAGCACAGTAGTGTTTTCCCCAAAAAAGCCCCGATCGCAAAAATGTTGATCGGGGCTTTTTTGCGGAAAACCGGGTCTAGATTGGCCACGGACGCTTTTCCGCAAAAAGGGCTTTTGCGGAAAAGCATTCTGCCAATCTAGACGGGCTTTTCCGAAAATGCTTCTAACGGAAAACTTTTCTGTTAAAAGCATTTTCGGAAAATCATGCCAGTGTAGACGTAGCCCTCGAGTAAGATATGTAATAATATTTCAGTTTTACAGATGAGGAAACTAAAGCTGAGCAATTCAATGACTCTTATGAGGCCATAAAGATTTGTGGCGCAGCTTGAGGCTGGTTGGGAAGATTTTTTCCATGTGGTCAGCCCAATTGCATACTATAACTTCCAAGTGGAGATTTAGTTCTCTCCCATCACGTGGGTGCCACACATTCAGTGGCTTTTTTCCTAACAATGATGCTGCTTTTCCCAAGATGGGTATATCATGAAGTCAGCAGACTTTGGGTCAGGCCCAATAATTACATTTTCCTCTCACATGTGAGCAAGAGAATCTTGGCGCCTTAGCAGGCAAGCAACCTGAAAGGCAAATTTTGAATGGATTGAGTTTGTAGAGGTCGAGCAGTCTCTTCATGTGAGCTCAGCATTCCTATTGAAGTGAATGCTATCTAAGCAAGTGGTTGCAAAGGGCAAGAGAGCCCTTAAATCTCTTTCATTATGTATAAATCATATCTTTATCCTAAAATTGAGCTAACATCTTTGATAATGATAGTTCTTCGTCGAGTAGTGTCCCCGAGGGTGCTCCACTCGAGGTGCTGGGCTCTTCTCGGCACCGCAAACAGAGAAACTTCCTTAGCAGTAGCCCTGCCAGCCCAGACATGCACTCCTGCTGTCTCGCACCGTTCAAGCCGTTACAGCTGAGCGCAGGCCAGCTCGTCAGTTTCCTTTCAACCGTCCGTGGCCGCAGACAGACCTAGGACGTGCTCCCTCTCTAGCCTGAGGAGAAAAAGGGATTTTTACTTTAGAGACTTTAATTGCCACTTGGCAGTTTATAGTTAGTGTAGTTGTTAATAGTTAGTCTAGTTAGTTTTCAAAATCTTTGTTTTTCTGTCCTAATCTTATAGTTTGTGTTCAGTAGCCTTAACAAAAAAAAAAAAAACAAAAAAAAAAAGCTGTTGTTTTGTTGTTTGCAATTTACAAAGACCATGCCTGGCTTCTAGAAATATTCACAGTGTCGGGATGCCATGCCCGCATCTGATGGGCACTCATGTTGCGTTAAATGTCTGGGGGACGGGCACATCCCGGTGAAGTGCTTGCACTGTATGAAACTGACAGCACATGCCAGGTGTGATCGTGAAATGCGACTGAGAGTAATTTTATTCAGTAAAGCCCTCCAGACTGATGCGAGCGAGCCAATCTCCATTGCCTCCAGGACTCACGCAGATCGTTCACCCACAAAGGAGCTCCACATCTCGAAGAACAGACATTACTGCACAGGGTGAGTAACTCTCTCTTCCTGGCTGGAGACAGGAACTAGAGAGTTCTGCTTACTGGGGAAAGATTGTCCACCACTGTTTTTCCTGGAGGCCTCTTTTTTCGACAGAACTGGCTCCGCCCCCCCCCGCATCCTCTTTCGAA